GGCAAAATGAAATATAATTACTTATACAATACTTTTCAACCATAAATGATTTATTGAAAACACTTTAAAATATTGTTAGCATGTCTTGTCAGCTGTAGTTATAGAATTAAGTTGTACTACAATAAGGTACTTTTGAAAATCCAGTCCTTGCCTGTGCTACTTATATTAAAGTAGATACTAATCCAAAGATGCTCGAAAAGTCAAAAGGTCTGCCAGTGAGATGGGAAATCAGTACTTCAGGGTTGTCTGTCTGTCTGCTTTCTGGGGAAAGGCTGCTTAAATATTTTGTTTTTAAAGTAGCTTACTTCTTCAAAGGAATGGCATCCTTATAATCCGCAGGGAACATTTATATGGCAAAAGGAGGACATTTACAGAAATCAGCCCAAATACAGCAAGTTTCAGAATGCAATTCTTTAACAGCCTTTTTTCTTTTAAAATTTAGATTACCTCCCTATTTTGGCATATCTGGAAGATTCAAGCATAAAATACAACCGAAAGATGATAAAATACTGAAACAAGAGAGGATGACCATAAAACCAGGAAAGTCAAAGCAAGGCTCCAGGCTAAAGCAGGGAGCTGGTACTCACAGAGCACACATTTAGCTAATGGCAGCAAAACAGCAACACGACGTTCCAGGAATAAATTATCACCTCTGATCCATGTTTCCAGAAACATGGAGGCTAAAAGTCTATGCTAGCTCTCTTCCTTAGAATGTGGCAGCCTGGAAAATCCTAATACAATCATTTTATCAATTTGACATCCAGTTTTGATCTTGACCTCTAAGACTGCTACCCTAATACCAACAGACGCATGTCTATTTCTTCTCTAATAAATCAAAGCACCTAAGATTCAGGGAGAGTTACCCCTGGGACTTTTTAAGCTACATCAGCATTAGACTCTGAGAGTCTAAAAAGTCATGAAAGCTGTTACAGTTAGGAGTCTCCCTTTAAGTTTCCCCTAAAAATATTTGTTGTAGCTTAAATATAATTAGGATATAATTACTGTTTTTGCTTTTTTCCAGAATTACCTTTAGTCAGTAACTCTGGAACTGAGTGATTTTTCATCATCTTCCACTCAAAACTCAAAACCCCAAATGACAAAAAGAGCACTGCTCTTCAAAAAAAAAAAAAAAAAAGTAAAATCCTTTAGTCAAAACAAGCAGGAATTACTATAACTAAAAGCACATAGTTCAAAAAGTTATGACAGGGGCCCTTTTGTGTGTCCTATTCGCTCAAGGATCCAATCAAATCTGGTTAAAATTTAAAATGCAGGTTTTCTAACGATCAGCAGTGTTCAGGCTAAACCTTGGCATTGGAAAGTCAAATTTATAGCCCTTACTGGCCTTTCCTTGCTGTAAAAGAAAGTACGATTGTGAAAAAAAAGTTACTCCTGTTTTTGTTATATACAACAGTAAGCAATACAATTATTTCATTTTCTTTCCTTATAAATTTCAGCCCAAAATCTATAAACAATGAATCAGCACTATATGGCCAATTAAAATAAATATGTGAACTTAAGTAAAACATGGAAAGAATAGTAAAAAGGATAGAACACAAAAAATGATATAAATTCAAATCACGTCAAGTCATCTAATCAATATGTATACGTCTACAAATGGTTTGGAAGAGAATGAGGCATGATAAAAATAGCTGAAATTGTCAATAAAAAGGATTTCTCTTTTTCTATATAGCTGCTTAAATGTGTAAAAAATTTTACTTTTTAAAAAGAGGCCCAAACCTCAGAATTTCATGAAGCATAGAAAGTATCTGAAAGCTCTGAACAGGGGCCAAGAAAGTATCCTTAGAACTTTATGTTGATACTATGTTTTTATAAAGAATGAAAAAAGTCTCCAGATTCATTTGAAAATACAATAAAATATAATAGAGAAAATGTGTTTTACAGATAAGTCCTTTTCTATACTAACGATTTATTAGAAACTCTGAATACTTAACTATCACACAAAAGGCCATTAATCTGTCTAAACAACTGAGGACTTCTGTAACTTCTGGCTAGAAGAGGTAGGCTGGGAAAATTTATCCCTGAAAGAGTAAAAACCCCATTTTCTCTGGCAGCTTCATCTAGATTCTCTTTTGGCACAAAAGTTGGAAATTCTTGAAACGGTGAGTATCTCAGTATTTTGTTACCCTTTGCTCTAACAGTACCAAAGTTCTCCTTCAGTTTATGAATACGCAGCTGTATGAAATGCAGAAGTGTTTTGATAGCTTTGTCAGCTTTCCTAAATTCCAACCAAGTGTCCTCGGTTATAATAAAAGCTACTTCCTGACCCCAGCCGTCTTCCCGGATGCCCTCTCACTGTCCTGATCACCTGAGTTAGCAAATAGTTACTGAGAGCAAGACTCGCTTTCCGCCACCCCGCCCAAGGCCCAGCTGCACAGGCCGCAGTCATTTCTGCCGCATCAGTGAGGAAATGAACATGTGGATCGGGAGCCCTGGTTGACTCCCCGCCACACCCCCGCCTCCCACGCCCAGCTCTGTGCGGCCGCGTAGTCAGAGCCCCTCTACAGCTCCTGGTGGCCCCAGGGAGAAGAGAAGGCCACCTTTCCCCCTCTGCCTGCTACTCTAAAAACGGTAAGCCTGGAGCTACGAAGGTCCACCGCATGGAGAGAGCCTGCCCAGGAGTGAGGCCAAAACAAAAGGAAACACCGTTGAAAAGTGGAGAAAAATTGAGTCCAGGAGCCTTGACCGAGCTAAGTCTGGGGTTGCACCACCTGTATTTTTTTTTTCTTCCTTCCTTCCCTTCCCTCCCTCCCTCCCTCCTTCCTTCCTTCCTTTCTTCCCTTCCCTCTCTCCCTCCCTCCCTCCTTCCTTCCCTTCCCTCCCTCCCTCCCTCCTTCCTTCCTTCCTTCCCTCCTTTCATTCTAGGAGCCAATGGGTGTGCAACTCCACCTCCACCAATTTATTTTCTTTGAGTCAATTGGAATGGATTGTGTCCCTTGAATGGAAAGAGCCCGATCCTGTATCAGTTCAGGTGTTTTTGGCTGCAAGTAAGAGAACACCAGACTGAAAATGGTTTGTCATCTCACTGAACAGGCAGCTCTGAGATAGGAAGCCCTCGATCCAACAGAGCAGAAGTGTGGTGGAGGACCCAGGCTTCCCCTCTGTCCCCTCGGCCTCCTGGCCTTTGTCTTTCCACCACAGTGACCAGCAAGATGGCTTCCAGGGCTTCAGGCATCGCTTCCTCATACATGAGCATCAAAGAAAGGGAAACTTACCCTTTCTGTCAGAGAAGAAAAGAGTTCTCCCAAACCGCCCCCCACCCCGGCCTCCCCGGAGCAGCCCCACCTTGGTCTCACTGCCAGATCTGGATTTCACACTGCCTGGCTGCCCCCGCCCCTCTCGGGCAAAGCAGAATGAAATTATGATGGCAAAGACCAACCTTGGAGGCAAGACACCTGATCAAAATAAGGCTTCTATTTTCAGGGAAGAAGGGAGAACATGGATCTTGGGTAGGCAACCAACAATGTATGTTGTAAGTCCTAGTACAAGCACTGGTGGTCACTGACCTGCAGTTACCCAAACATTCAAGAGCTGGTGAAGAGCCTGAGATTCCAAACCAAATAATAAGAACCAACCATCATTTTAATTTCTATGTACACAACACCTAAATACACATCCACTGTATTTATTATTCTTGAGAAACTATGAAAACGGACCGCAAAACTGTCAGTTCCTTGGAATGGCTTTTTAAAGGCTTTAGTGAATGCCCCAGAATAACTACTAGCTATGTAGGTTGTTTTCAATGTGCCCAGTATTGGGAAAGGATGTTAATGAATGATCCTCCCATTCTTAGAACGCTAAGGCTATTTGTTAGCTAAGGTTGTTAGAATCTGCTAGGATGTGCAGCTGAAGAGCCTGCTAAATAGGGAACAGGAACTCTTTTGAGCAAACTGGTTTCCAACTCTTTGCTGAAGATCAATACTATTCAGGTGGTCCTCTTCCTTAAAGTATGGCATCACTGGGGGTCATGAGGCTTAAAGGAGATGACACTGTGAAAGCTCGCAGGCCAGAGCCTGGCACTGAGCAGTACCGTGAAGCCCAGGAAAATACGGGAGGGGCTGAACCGGGTAGCAGGAATCCAGCCATGGCGGCGGAAGGAGAACGAACAGCCTGAGCGTTCATTTCCAAAGCTGATCTAAACAACTGCTATATTGTGAATTACTAAATATACTACACAAGATCTACAAGGCAAATAAAATTAACTCAAAGCATCAGTGGTGATAAGAAAAAATTAAGTATCATCAGTAGGCAAGTGGAAACTAGTAAAGGTAACTCCAATATAATAATGCGATGAGAGCTTTAGCTGAACTTGGTTAAACCTTATTTTCTACGCCTTAAGCATCTCCACCCACATTTTCATCTTGATGTTAACACTTACTGAAAATAAGGTCTGTGCTTCTTCCTCCACTAACCACTTCAATGAACTTGCATCTGAGCTCATACCTGTTATTACACCAATTCATTCACTCTAAATAGAGGCTAATTATTTTGACAGTTAATTGCCACAGAAAACAAGAGAGAGAACTGCGAGGTAGAATGGAATGCTCTCCGAAGACTTTAGATCTGACTCTGACATTAAAGTGAGCCACTCTCTTTCCTACACTGTAAACTGAGAGCCCCACTTGGCTGTAAAATTCAGTGACACTATGAATTAAAGTGTCAATTACTTGCCTTAGTTCAGTTGGGTGTCAGCATAGCCTAGCAGTGGAAGTCAACACACCTTAATGTGTTCTAGAAGTAGAAAAGGCCTTCGAGCTGTCCAGAGGGGGCATCTATGTGACCTTCATGAGGTCATGACCCCTCTCTGAGCCACAGTGTCCTCCCAGGTAAAATGGGATCATAACACCCTCATGGCAGGTTGCAGTGAGGATTAAATGAGATCAGCTGTGTACATCTCTTGTGGCTCCTGGCAGTGGGAGGCACTAAAAAAGTGATAGTTATTGCTACTACTTTTTATTGTAGAATCACCAATAAGCACTTACCTAAAGAAACAACAGCAACGCTCTCTGGCAAGAAATGTAATCTGTATCGAATCAGTAAATGCACCAATATGATGCAGATAGCTGTGGGAAAAAGAAGACATTGTTACAACAGCACAGTTTTTAATCATAAACACCAAGTTCAAGGCAATAGTCACTCCTGGAGGGCTGCTAGAAAATCCAACGACTGCCAATGACACCGTGACCTTCAGGGGCATTTTCAATCTCTTATTTCTTAAACTGGACGTAGACTCATGGTGTTTATAACATTTTCTCCATAGTTTCCATATATCTGAGAGCATCAGACATCTAATTTTTTTCTAAGCTGCTATGCCTCATACAATGATTTAAAATTATTTGAACTTCCTTGATTCTGAGAAATGGCCCTCAACTTTTTTGCAATAGTCGTCGACTGGAAAAACTCTAAATAGTGAAGAGAATGTCAATGAAATCAATCACTTTTATGGACTTGTAACTACAACAGAATATGCTGACACAAAGTGTTTTGCCACCAGGCGATTGGTTCTCTCTTAACACAGAAGAAAGCGAGGAAGTTTTATAAACATAACAAAGTAAATATTTTGGTTATGAGAACGTCAGAGACCAACGATGGGGCCCCTGCTGTCCCCCTAGGTCCTGGGGCTCCCACTAGTTGAGGGCTCCCCACCAGTCAGGCGCTGCGCCAAGCACTTCCAAACGCTGTCTCATTTGACCCCCAACACCCCTCTTAACTAGCTGTTATTGCTGTCATCTCCTTTGATTCTCGATGGGCAAACTGAACCTCAGAGGGCAGGTCAATGGTAAGTACCGCAGGGTGGAGCCAGGCTCCAATCCTGGGCCCTGAACCTCCGCACCCACCCACCAACTCCCTCCCGGCTGCCTTCACTCCTCACTCACCCAAGTAGGAATAACGTCTGACTTTCCTCACAGAGGCGCTGTCATGAAAGAGAAAATAAAAGACTAGAAAACTACTTGAAAGGAGGAAATATTTCTGGACTCTTCCCTAAAAGCATACTTTTACATAAATGATCCTTAAATGTAATTTCATGGTCCAAACGTTAGCGTGCACGTCTCTTTTTATCAGGTACCTAGGTGGTATACCATCTCATCAGTCACAGCATTATCTTAATAATGCTTAAGATAATTGTTTTGTGAAAAGAAATGTTTAAACAATCTCCACGGCTGTTAACTGGCCACCCTCAGAGCCGCATTGACAAACGAAGATATCTTTTACTTCCACCAAAAAGCACCAGGTGCCCAGAGAAAGGAAACAGTTGTAAATATAGAAATTTTGTCCTCTTTTCGTTCTGTGCTCTAAACTATCGACCTGTGGCATTATTATAAATATTCTACCTAGTTAGAAAAATCCCACATTAAATACTAACAGCAAGAAAAGAGTGTATTACAATGCATCATTGTAACAGGTGACCAAAGAGCAAGCCTAGTGTCTAAGAAAACAGGCACACGAGCACGCAAGTAGACAGATACTAAACTAGGGAGTTTAATCAGCTTCTGCTCTTTCTGTGCACCAAACTGGATGAAAAAACTATTTTAAAAATTTATTCTCATAAATCAATTATTTGCATCTTTCAGAGCAAAGGCAAAAACTATCAACAGCGAGAGCTAAATATAAGGCTCAAGGAATGGTCTTCAGCCATTAAGAATGAGGTCTGAAGAAGCAACCCATAGAATGGGTGAAAATATTTGTAAATCAGGTATCTCATAAGGCTCTATCTGGATAAAGTATCTGGAATATATAAAGAACTCTTACAACTCAACAAAAAGAAAAACAACACAATATGAAATTGAGCAAGGACCTGAACAGACATTTCTCCAAAGATATATAAATGACCAATAGGCACATGAAAAGATGCTCAACATCATTAGTCATTAGAAGAATGCAAATCAGAGTCACAATGAGATACAGCTTCACACCAAGTAGGATGGCTATAATTAAAAAAACAAAACAAAACAAAGTGGATAAGTGTTGGTAAGGGTGTAAAGAAATTGCAACACTTGGCCCTTGCTGGTGGGAAAAGTCTGGCAGTTTCAGAGAAAGTCACACAGGGATTAACCATTTAACCCAGCAACTCCACTCCTAAGTATATATCCAAGAAAAGGAAAAACTTATGTCCACACACAAACGGGTACACAAGTGTTCACAGCAGCCCTATTTACAATAGTCAACAGGTGGAAACAACACAAATGCCCATCAACCAATGAATGGATAAACATGTGCTTATACCCTTAAAATGGAACATTATACAAAGGAATACAACTCTAACACAGGCTAAAACACGGGTGACCTTTGAAGACACGATGCTAAGTGAAAGAAGCAAAATACAGATCATATATTGTACGGTTCCATTTGCATCAAATATTTTGAGTAGGTAAATTCTTAGAGACGAACAGCAGAATTGTGTTTACCAGAGACTGGGGAGAGGGGTGAGTGGGGAATGAATGTTTTGAAAGGGTCCTAGATTTCCTTTTGGAGAGATAAAAATGTTCTGGGATTAAACTGTGGTGATGGTTGCACAACACTGTGAATGTGGTAAATGCCACTGAATTGTACGCTTTGAAGTGGTCAATTTTATGTTGTGTTTATTCTTACCATATACACATCTTTTAAAAAGAGAAAAAGGATGAAGCATATAAAAAACATTAACATGGAAAGATCTCCAAGACATTCTGTGAGAGGAAAAAGCAAGCTATAGGACCCCATTTATATTAAAATAAACAAACTCCAAGCTCTATGTGCCTGTATGTAGTGTGCTTATGAATGTATAAATGTACACACACAAATACATGTTTCCAAGTATACTTTGGGAGAAAAAGAACAAGAAACAACAAAAACTTCTGTGTGGTATGGAGGGTATGTATAGCACAAGGTAATGTGCTTCCAGCTTTTCATGCCTGAAGCAATAATTAGGTGAACTATATTAAAACACAGACATTTCAATTTTAATAACTCCAATAAATTTAATGGCTCATAAAATGTACCTGTCAAAGGATACTAATTGCTAACTCTAGTGAAAGTCAGTAACAGTGACTCACCGTTGTTTCTACAGAGTCAAAGGTGAGCAAGGGTTAACTTCAAAGCTTCTAAAAATAAATTTTGGCATCCTTTCTCAACAAAGAGGAACACAATGTAATCCTTTCACATCCTTATGGACACAAAAGTCACAATTTCATTTGACTTAACTAATAGTAAACAAAAGTGGCAAATGTGTTCTAGCTTAGCTCCTGAAGTCTAGAATGAACTATAGACTAATGTCCCTTGATTCACCAGAGTTTATGCATTAAGTGAGTCAGCAAGTTACCTATTAACAGTTGTTTTTTTTTTTACTTTATCAGATTTACATCTAATCAGGAATATACAAGAAAAATATTATCTTGATAGCATACAAGAGGACAATGCCTTCAAATTTACTTAAAAGGAAGCATTCCATTCTGCTAAAGCATGTTGACCTATGCATAAAAAGTGGAGATACCAACTCATAAACTGCCAAGAGTCTGATTATGTGAAAATGGGACCCGTATGACATCGGCAGGACTCTAGAGTCTAGGTTTATGGTATGTTTGAAGACAAGACTATCCCAGAGAAATATACTGCACTATTAAATACAGCTCACTCCTTTCTGGTCCCAGACATGCATTAACACTGGGCAGGATCTGCCTGGATGAAAAATGACATCATAAAACCTGTTTTGTGGTCTTTGGCACAAAGTAATCTTAAATGCTACACACCCTGAAAATTACTTTGAAAGTCTTACTTATGCTTCTCAGCCTCTTGTGAAAAAAGTGATTACAAAACAGACTTTTTTTTCCAGGCCAGCCTTTTATATTCTCTAACATATCAAATGGACAACAATGTAAATAGATTAATACTTCAGGATTTAAGGAACAAAAGATTTCTTGATCAAGAAAAGAATTGTTTCTTTTCTTTGTACTCAGCTACTATAACAAAAGAAAAAGAAAACAAGAGTCCCTGATTGTTGAAGCAATCTCCTAGAAATAGAATTTAACTATATTTATAGGGTAAAAAATGACCTGGGCATATTAAATCTACAGGGGACATTGTACACTTGGGCATTTGCTGGTGGGACCATAAAATGGTGCAACCTTTGGGGAAAGCTGGGCAGCTTGTGAGAAAGTTACACGGGGAGCTACCATTTGACTGAGCGATTCCAATCCAAGGTACATGCTGTATATCCAAGAGAAATAAAAACGTACACATTTTCACATAGAAATGTGTACACAAATGTTCGTAGCAGAAGCATTTACAATAGTCAAAAGGTGGAAACAACACAAATGTCCATCAGCTGATGAATGAATAAACACAACGTGGTATATCCTTACAATGGAGTATTATTCAGCCACACAAATGAATACAATTATAGCACATACTACAATATGGGCGAAGCTTGAAGACATGATGCTAAGTGAAAAAAGCCAGATGTAACAGGTTTTTCGTTTTGTTTTGTTTAAATCTATGAGAGATGAGGATGAGCCCTAAGGACTTTACCACACTATTAAAACTGACTTTAAAAGAGTCTGAATATAAGTGTGAAAGAAGTGACACTTCCCCTCAAAACAGTCTTAATAGACATCAGAGAAATACACTGTACCTCTGTACTTTTAAATCCAGTTCCATCTTTCACTTTTCTGAAAAATCTAATTGGAAATATGACTATCTATCATTAAAGGATAGTAGAAAAATATAAATGTGCCAACTTCAAGTTTCAAACAAGAGTTTGGACTTGGGTCATATTCTAAGCTACTTCTGTAGTCAGCTAATCCAAAGCGGTTGTGAGGTTTCCAGTGGAATTTTTTAGTTTGTTTAATGTAATTGTCTACCACAGTATCTGGGAGGCACTGAAGTTATTGCCTTTTATCTAAAATTCTTGACTGATGTCTGGTAACCTGGACATTAGTCTCTAGTGTCCCAAATCCCAGGTATGTCAATTGCTTAACCTCTCAGGGCCTCAATTTCCTACCCCGTTAAAGGAAGAGGTTGAACAAAATGAGATTTTAAGTTTGAGAGACTGTCAGACCCCCCACCTCCTGCTGCCACCACAACACACATACCCCCCAGACTCTCATGAGCAGAGTTGGAAACCCATTAAATTAGAACGTGTTCAAGGTTCTTTCCAGGTTAAAAATTCTTCAAGTCTCTCCTCCAACAGATACCTAGGACACTGCACCAGGGGCTCTTCTGAACTGCTAAGCTCTGATTTTATAGAGAGAAAGAAGCACCCTGCCGTACTGGTACGCACTGATCGCTGCCCCTCACTGTCTGAAATGAAAACCAAAAGGAGGAATGGACAAAGGCAACAGCGGCTGAGATGGGCTGACCACAGGCGGCGCGCATTGACAAGCGAGGCGGCGGATGACAGTGCCTCTGCATTCACCTAGGACGAGGAGGCTGAAGAAGATCGTCATGCCACTCGACTGCTCCTCCTGCTGAGCCTGCTCCCCCGTCTGCACTGGCAGGATCGGCTTGGCAGGGGTCGGGAGCACCAGTTTCGTAGTGACAACCAGGGTGGTGTGGAGGGTGACATTGAAACTTTCGTGAGTTGTGTTGGAGAACCTGCTGGCGGACACAAAAAAGCAGAATTAGATAAAGGAAAAAGGGCCCCAAAGTAACAACACACAAAGCCAGCAAGAGAACTCGGCACAGAGCTTTACGGGAGCCACGAGTCAGCAACGAACAGGCAGGCAGGCAGGCCTTGGAGAAACTGATTAAGAAAATGCTTGCCTGCTGCCACAGGCTGGGCCCTCAGGGGCTCTGAACACAGCCACTTAGAGGACAGGGACAAGGGGGAATCGGGGCGCCTTAGGAACCACATGCTGCCTGTTCCTTGGCTCTAACAGGGGATTTACAGGGAGGCTGGAGTGGGGTGGGGGGGTTGAGCGAAAAGGAAAAGGGACTCATGGACATGGACAACAGTGTGGTGTTCACAGCGGGGAGAGGGGACAAGGGAACTAAATGGTAACAGAAAAAATACAATAAAATTTTTATTAAAAACTTAAAAATAAACAGAGACTCACTGGAGTCTCATCACTTCCAAGGTCCAACATTATTTACTTGGTGCCTTTATTTCTCTAGCTTACAGTCTTTTACATTTTGGATTGTATCTACAAGTGGAAGAAGCCACCTGAATTTGCAGTTGCCGATCTGGTGCTTTACAAAACCCTTCTCAGATTTCAAAAGGCGCAGGGTAACCCCCTCTGTACTACCCCACTGCAGCCCACCACTGACGTTCCTCACGCATTGAGGACAGTACACTAGTGCAATACTGGTAAAAGGTATTGTAACTGTGATTTTTAACAGCTAATGTTTATTGAGGCCTGCTTCATTCCAGGGTAACACGCCACCTTTCATTTAATAGGCATAACATGCCTGAGGTGGACATTCTTACTTTCCCATTTATACCCATGAACAACAGAGACTCAAAGAGGTTGCGTAACGTGGCCAGTGTCTCAGTCAGGCAGTGGCAGAGCTGAGCTTTGAAACCAGACTTGAAATCACCAACTCATACCATCTCTTTTGCTTTGTGCTGTTGAGGCACAGTTTAGAGTCTGGGCCAGAGCAGATGCTCAATAAATAAGGTGACCAAATGAAATGAACACCCAACCCTGATGCCTATCTGAAGAGCTGTCAGGCGAGGGAACCAAATGTCAACCACAGGGTTCCCTGTGAATGTTTACATATTCCTTCCACAAATATGATAGGGCATCTATGACATGCACTAGACTGTGCCCAGCAGGTAGGAAGATGGACTAAGAGTGGTCCTTCTGCAGAAGTACCTGCAAGACCCACACCTTGGCTGCCCCCACCTTATCTTGCATGGCCAGCCCTCTTGCTCTCCACACTCCAGCCACCCTGCCCGCCTTTCTGTCCCTCAAAGGCACTAATGCCTTTCTTGCTTCTGGGTGCTTGCACTTGCTGCTGTCCCCTCTCCAATCCCTCCTTCTGTTGATTTAGGTTCCAGCGGGCACTGACGCTCCTTCCTGAGTAGACTGCCTCACCCTAACACTATTCCATTTCCTTTAGAGCACTGATATCATCTTGTCTATTTATGGTCTTTTCCTACTGGAAAGGAAGTTCCCAGAAAGCAATTCCTGGTCTGCCTCCTTCACTACTAGGTATCCAGGGCCCAAAACACAGTGGACCGCCAACAGTTAAAGAATGAATGAAACTCAGTGGACACGGATGGGACAAACGATCGTTGCGGTGGAGAAGGCGACTGGCTAACTAGCGAACGGGGATGGGGGACTTCCTGGAGGAGGAGGCGGAGCGCTCCGTTGTTATCAGATGACCGAAAGCTGGGGAAGGGAAATTTGGGTTGCGGTTGCCGCAAGGCAGCTTTCGAGGCCTGCACTGGGCGGCCGATCCCCAGCCCGAGGGTCCGACCTCAAGGAGGCTGCAAGGCCGGGCTGGGCCCAGGCCCGTCCCTCCCGCCCTCCTCGCAGGGGCCGGCATGGTCAGTCCTGGCCAACCAACACAAGGCGCTCCGCCTCCCGGGGGCCGGAGGGCGGCCTGAGGCGCTAGCTGTCACCCGCTGGGGCCCAGCCCCGCCGCCTCCGCCGCGCGGGGAAAATCCCACTCACGCCACTTCCGCCATCTTCGCCCCCATCCTCGGATCCTCCAAGCCCAGCGAGTTCGGGGCCGCTGGGCTAGCTGGGCCCTCTTTTGGCTTCCGGCTTCCGCTGAAGGCACGGGCCGGACGACGAACTGGGGGGCGGGGCTTCGGGCGCGCGAGGACGGCCCTTCTATCCCTCTGTCTCTATATCTCGAGGGTGGAATAAGGCTTATAGGTGGACGGTGGGAAGAAAGCTTCTCGCTCGCCATGGCTGGGAAGAGGGACCCGAATGTTTCACTTCCCCAGCCTGAGCTTCAGTTTTCCTCAGTTGTAAAGAGGACCAGATGCCTGGGCTTTTCAGACCTGCGCAGTATTCCATCTGTAAACATTTATTGAGTTCTGACATGTGCCTATCGTTAAAATAGGTGATGATGATCTAGGGATGGATCGTTGATTAATCGGATCATTGACACCCATATATGTATCTAGCAGTGGCCTGTGGGGTTGGGGATACAGGAAGAAGCGAGGCGAGGTTGCAGGTGTAAGAGGAACCGCACCAGCAAAGCTAAACCATACTGTAAGGCCTATGGACTTGAGGCCACCTTTGCTGCTACCTCCTTCCTGGTCCAAGCCATCTTATCTCATCTGCAAATCTGCCTAAACCTTCTCTCCCACCCTGCCATTATTCCCATGGTCTTCCACACAGTGGCCCCAGTGAACTTTAAAACTGGGGTACTCCTCTGCTCAAAACCTCCACTGGCTTCCAATCTTGATCAGAGAAAAAACTTTGGAGTTCTAACAGGACTCCACCTGGCCTCCTTTCCCCCTCTGAGGTGGATCTCCTTTCTCACTCCAGCACACGTGGCACTCTGGTCACAGTGGCTTTCTCAGTGTTCCTGAAACACACGGAGCACTGCCACCTCTGCCCTGGCCAGTCCTTTTGCCTAGAATACGGTCATACACTGCATAATGATGTTTCCATCAACAACGGACGCTATGCCATTTAGGTTTGTGTAAGTGCACTCTGTGATGTTTGTACAAGGATGAAATCGCCTAATGATGCCTTTCTCGGAAGGTATCCCTGTCGTTAAGTGGCGCATTACTGTACTCCGTTGTCCTTTGGCTCTCACCTTTCCCAGTTTTGGGCTTTTTATTTAATCCTTACCTTGTCCATTCTACCTTCTCTGACCACCTGTTTAAAATCCAAGGCCCCTCCCCTTTCCTGAGTTATTTTTCTCCATAACACCAAACATATTCTGCTTTACTCATATATTTGTTTGTTGTCCTTCCACGAGCATGTAAACTTCCAAAATGCAGAGGGTTTGTTTGTTCTGTTTTATCTCCAATGCCTAGAACAATACCTGACACATAGTAGGTACTCAATAATAAATAATCACTGAATAAAGACCTTCGTTAATGCCACACGTGTTAGGAAACAAAGTTTTTGAAAAGAGGAGCACTGTGACCGACTTTTATTAGGACCCCTTTGACAATAGAGAGTTGGGTGGGGCGGAGGGTGTGTGGGGACAAGGACTGAAGCCTTCAGACCTGCTGGGAGGTCTTTCCAGTAATCTGGGTGAGAGCTGATTGTAGTTTGGATTAAGGATGTTACCGTGGAGGTGGTAAGAATGGTTGGATTCTGGGTGCACACTGAAGGTAAGATTTGCTGATGGACTGGCACATAAAGGAAAGGGAGAAGTCAAGGATGACATCAAGCTTTTGGTCCCGCACGGAAAAGAGATCTGTCTGGCTCAAACCCAGAGCCCACAGCTTCTCCAAGACCTTTTAGGACGGTTGTCAAAGCTGAGAGAATGCGGTTAGGATCAGCCAAAATTTACTGAGTTCTTCCTGTGGGTGTGGTGCTGGGCTATTGTTTCCTTAATTCCTTACATTTCTTTGAGGCAGATCCTATTATAATCCCTAAACTAAAGCTCAGAGAAGTCAACCCCTTGCCGGAAGTCCTGCAGCTGGCCAAAGCTGAGGCTCTGATTCCAGCCAAGTCTGTGCTTTGGCCTGGTAACCCCCTTCCTCCCCCACCACCATTCCTCTCCACTGTCTTTATTTCTCTGGCTCTAAAATGTGGCTATCTGCCTGTTTTCTTCCCTTATCACGTACAGAGCCTGGCAAAAATGAGCTGGCTCCTAGGGAGTGAGAGCTGGGTTCTCTCTGAGCCACACTACTGGCAGCGGGCTTGAGGTTGTCACTCTTCTTCCAGGCCACAAAACCCCCGCTAGCTGGAGTTGAGCCCCCATGGGCTGGGGTGAGGCCCCTTGCATCAGACTGCAGGCCAGTCAGGACGAGAGCAGGCACCTGATTGCATGACGGGTGTCCCATTTTATCTGCCATCGCACCCACTGCCCTTGCCACGGATCCTGTTATCTGGTCCAGATCCAGGCTTTGTGGCAAATCATGGACCTGCTGCCAACCAGGAGGCCAAATAACACCCGCTCTCAGGCTTATATAAGAGCAAATCCCAGGCCCTTCTCACCTATTCCTGGGGTTGAATCTAAAATCCCCAGTCATTGACCCCAGAAAGGCAAATAAAGTCATTTGACAAATCCAGTTCCTGGGCTTCTGTGTCCTGTTAAGCTGCTGACCCAGGGCATGGCAGACTTTGGTTGCCAGGCAGTCCTGGCTCCCTACCCCAACTCGATACCTGTGGGCTCTGTTACCCTGGGACCCCACAGCACCTGAAGAGCCTCAGGGCTCATCGCTGTTGTGACAAAAGCCTTTGGAAGGCTGTTATAGGATTGGAGAAAAAGCTCTACCTTTGTCCTGTTTTCTCTGCCCTCTTACCCCCAATCTTGCCATTCAGATTTCAGCTTAAATGTCACCTCCTCACCTCCCTGACCACTCAGTCTGAAGCAGAGGTTGGAAACTTTTTTTGTAAAGAGCGAGACACTAAATATTTTAGTCTGATCTCTGTCACTACAACTCCATTCTGCTGGACAGTGGGAAAGACACCATAGATGATTTAAATGGGCATGGCTGTGTTCCAATAAAACTATGGATATTGAAATTTGAATTTCTTATCATTTTCCCAAGTCACAAAATATTCTTTTGATTTTTTTTTCAGCTATTTAAGAATGTGGAAACTATTCTTGGCTAGGGGCTATACAAAAGAAGGTGGCAGGCTGGATTGGCCCGCCACAGGCCACCGACCCTTACTTAGCCTAATCTTAAAACAAGTGTTTCTGAGGTACTTACCATTATCAGACTTTTTCCTCTTCTTCCCTCCATCCCTCCCTCCTTTCCTTCTTTCCAAAGTTTATCATCCATTTTCCCCTCTAGGATATAAGTCCCTGAAAGCAGACAGCTTGTCACACTCCTGTCTTTATTCTGTCCTTTATCTCTTTTAACGTTTCTTGAATACTTATTCTGTACCAGGCATTATTCCAAGCACATTATGCTCAGTAATTTATTTAATGTTCATAAAAGCCCTATGAGTTACTCTGATTAGCCCAATTTTACAGATGTGGATACTTAATGTCTTGCTTATTACTCTTTTGCCCAGAGATTAAAAAATGCTGAAGCTGTTAGCAAAACAGGGGCACTAATGAAAACTTTTTAATGAATTTGATATAATTTTAAAGGGAATCGAAGTGGTTACCCTGTGTACCACTCAGGGTTCCATCAGAGAAGCAGTGCCAGCAGGAAAAATATGTTAAGAGATTTATTGCAAAAAACTGGCCTAAAACAACACGTATTATTATCTTACAGTTCTATAGGGTAGAAGTAGGTTGGGCTTAAAATCAAGAAGTCAGCAGGGCTGCATGTATTCCTTCTGGAAGCTCTAGGAAAGAATCTCTTCTCTTGCCTCTTCCAGCTTCTAGAAGCACCTGCATTCCACGGCTTGTGGTTCTATCTTCTCTCTTTAAAGCCAACAATGGCAACCTCTGCTTTCGTTATCCTGTCTGCTCTTCCTCTGACTTTCCTGCCTTTCTCTTTCATTATAAGATGTTCTTTATATTTCATTATATTGTGATGTTCTAGAATGACCTCCCCATTTCAAGGTCAACAGATTAGCAACCTTAATTCCCCCTTGTCATGTAAGAGAACATATTGCCAGAGTTCGGCATGTGGACATCTTTGGGGGGCCATTTCTCTGCCTACCCCACCGTGGGAAAAATAAGCTCTGTGCTGGCCTTCCCTTCATTTATTTTTACCATTTAGTATTGTTTCATATAGATTTACATGTGGGGAAGAGTTGGGAATATTTTTTTTAATGCTTGTGGATTTTAATGTTTTAATCTGGTCCTGGCCACTTAGCAGGTAACAGGCACTAAAATTACCAGGCAGAAATAAAAAATCCAGGTTTATAGAATTCAGTGGAGTCAGTTGCAAAAGATACATATGGGAAAGTTTGTGAAAAAATACAAATTCCAGCCCTGACTGGTGTGGCTCACTTCGTTGGACATCATCCCACAAAGCAAAATGTCACCAAGTTGATTCCCAGTCAAGGCACATGCCTGGGTCGTGGGTTCAGTCCCTAGTTGGGGTGCCTATGAGAAGCAACCAATCAATGTTTCTCTCTCACATCAATGTTTTTCTCCCTCTCTTTCTCCCTCGCTTCCCCTCTCCCTAAAAATAAATTAAAAAAATATTTTTGTAAAAAAAAATTTGTAAAAAAAAAATACAGATTCCAGTCCTATCACAGACCTACTGGAGCTCCAGTGTGGGGCCTGGGAATCTGAATTTTTGGGGGTTTCCAGTCCTATAGCACACTCTGTTGGTGACTGCTCAAAACCCCTTGCGGGGGGTCCTACTGCTGACTAAGTGCTTCCTCTCAGCACAGGATGAGCCAGCTGTGCTGGGCTGTTGATGGTCCCAGAATAGGCCTCAGCCAATAACTGATGGGAAGTTGAAGGATCAGCACCTCCACTCCCTGCCCCTTGGGTGGAATAACCCTGAGGTGCATGTTCTAAACAGCTTCCCAGAGTTCCAGCTGCCTACAACGGTGACCCACGTGACACCGCACACATATAAGAAACAGAAAGCCAGCACAAGATAGACACAAATGGAATTCCCAGATGAGGGCGAAGGGGGATCCCAGGATGACAG